TACACTGACGAGGAGCTGTACTCGCTGTATCAGTAGAAGGGATTACCAATGATATTAGTCTGGTATAAGGGTGTTTCAAAATTGTACGTGGACGCCATATTAATTCGGTGATAAAGTTAGTGGAAGGAAACGAAAATCCTGTTAAACAGGCATGTTCTAAAAATATTTCAAGGGTACCAATTTTTTTATTTTCCGAGTATAGATCGTTATACCCTCACAGTTCTACGTAATCCTCGCTACCTCGGGAGTTCAGTGTCTCGATAACTAATACGCGACTTCGGATCAAGTATATCTTTTTGCGGATTAATTTCCCCCGCATTCTCAATGGTAGAGAGCGAAGAAAACAATGAGAAAAAAATCGTGAGAAGAAGCGTTCGAACTTGTATCCAAACGCACAGTTTTCACTTCGAATACTTCTGAATAAACGTGGCTACCACGAGCAACCACTTTCTTCCATGAAGGTATTTATTCGAGAAGTTCGTGATATTTCTAGCAATCGACGTACGACAAATTCTATGATAAAGAATAGTACAAAATATCACCATCAACTTCGGTTAAAAATTGAAGAAACGTTTGGAATTTAGATGGACACTTTTCATTCAGGATGAAAATAGAAAAGATCAGAGACAATTAAAAAGAAACATCCGAAATTGGTCAGTAGAGAATCTCGTTGTCTCGGACAAAGCGATGTTAGTCTATGGATGGAAAGCAGACAAAAGATGTTAGCCCACAGCTGGAATGTTGCATCCGTTCCATTCACCAGATATACATAGTAGTGCTATAAATTCAGCCCCTCATAAAAGTAACTTTATGATGCAGATAAATTAAAACAAAGACCAATCCTTTAATACCTCCCATTCACGGTGTATAGCACGCTGCAAAAATCCCCAAAACCATTCGGGCTGACCATCTCCTTCTTACCTGTACACGCTTCAAACGATCTAGCCATCCATCTCCCCTGCGTATACAGCGTTCGTGATCATTAACGCTGCCGTCAGAAAAATAGAAAAGTAATTATCTACCTCCGATCTTAATAAATTTGTCCCTGAAGAGGTTCAGTTAATTTATCTTACTCCAACTCTATCAACCCAACGGATCAACTAACTTAATACTCGCTTCCAATTCTGGAACACCCTGTACGCAGGATGATTAATGTCGGTAGCTTACAAAATGCTCGGCCTGGCTGTAAAGGTCGACGTTTCACGAGCGAAGGCTTCCCAACTAAAAATATCATCCCGACAAATAACGTGCATAAGCGTTTCGATTGCATCACTATAATGCAGCGCTAACGTAACGCGAACGTTAGCGTGCATGATACCCAGGCAACTGTCGATCATGCTGCCACGTGCACGTCGCCGGGATCGCGGATCACGAAGGAATTCTTCGATCAAAAATATCAGTCAATTGTGTTCGAATCTTCGCTGACCCGGGTAGCACGTTAGATCGGAAATAGAGGACCAGAGGTATGGCGGATGCGCGAGGGAGAATTTTCTCGTTCTCCTTGGCAGCCTTCCTTCTCCACTCGCGATGGCTCCAGTCCACTGACCGACACTCGGATGCCATGCTATAAAGCCGAAGAAAAAGTCGCCATCGTAAACTCGGACTGCTTCCGCACTTCGCGATAGTTCCGTGGCCTGGGATCTGCCTAGCTTTTCGTGGAAGGTCGCGAGAAGTAGCTTGGAAACTAGGAGGATTCGTCGAATTTTCGTGAAATCTCGAAAGAGGAATCTGAGTCTTCGTCATCCCGGTTTCGATTATTATGGATTAAACGTTGATCAAAATCAGAAGCGATTGTCAATCATTTCTGTAATATTAGAAATGATCATAAATGGTATATCATTCTCCATTTTGGCTGCAATCGAGATCGGTTTGATAGAAGTTGCTCTGTTCTGTTTGTTCGAAGATATAATCTTTCACATGGAATGAGGCGCTAAATTGTCGACATTAGTCGATATTTAAATAGACACAATTTATCGAATTCTAGGAATTTATCACAAGTTACGTATTCCATGCATCGCTGATGGTTATCGCGAAACCGCTGTAACACATCGTTCAGCAACTGTAAACCGATTTCATCCTGGCAACCTGGATAGGCGAGTCATTATACCAAATTCTTGTCACTGGCACGCGTTGCACTGGAGGTGTGAAATAATCGATCAAAGCGAAGTCTGCGAACTCGGAGTAGCCGATCTCGATCCTCGAACCACCCGAGAATATCCGTGTCTATACTGTCAGTATGCCGTCGAGGTGAACCGTTTCCTATTGTACCTCGGCCTGTACCAACCTCGATCGTCTGCTCGTGCTGAAATGGAATTCCAGCGATGACGACGAGCCACAGAGGAATTTCGTTAAAGTCGAGGCTCAATGTGACCGTGATGTTTTGAATTACAGCGGATATTCGCGTAATGGAGCGCGATAATTATGGTAGTGGAACGCGGTAAACCGTGCAGATCGTAGGAACGGTCAGGATGGAAAATCGGTGGCGGAGGTTCATGCGCCACGTCCCAGGCGAGTGGCGGCGGCAGCGACGAATAAATGAGACAAGAACGTGTAATGACCCACACTCGATTATTGCGAAGCAGAAAGAGATAGGCGTGCTCCTCGTGGCGAGGAACGGGCGAGATAAGGACGAGCGGATAGAAAATATGGCCATGATATTTACTAACGCGGCCTCCACGTGAAAGTGCTCGGTCTCTTCGCTTTGTGCCGTGCTCGAGGAACGCGTACACACGGCTTCATGTAACGGGTGACATGACCGAACCTTTCGAGGAAAAACAAGATCAAGCCAGGGGTACGGCTGAAATGACGCGTTTCGAGAGTTAGCCAGCCTCCACGCAAGGCTGGTATTCATTTATTCCAAGGATCCCGCGACTAAGATCACCCTGATGGCTGCCAACTCGATCGGAGAACGTACGGCGAAAAATGGAACGATCGAGTTACGAGAGATTCGTGTGCGATGGAATTTGACCTAAATAAGAGTTCGTAGGAGCGCGGACTCTCTCCCTTTACAGCTGCTGGTAGATTCTGCAGATAAACGCCATTAAACCTGCTCTCGATCATATTTTTCGTTGGTGAACGTTGCTTCTTATTGTAGATAGATCCATCGAATTTTCCGAATATTCGTCATATTTGGAAAATTATATTTTTATGGATTTAATTATTATTTTCTGTTTTGTGTGAAACAATGATTTATGATTTCGTTATATTATATATATATATATATTTTTATAAAATTATGTATAACTTGGACGAGATTAACATTGATTTCATTTTTTTTTTAAATGTGAAGTAATGATGTGAAGTATGATTCTATTATTTTTATTCTTCTGTTTTAAATAAAGTTATATATAACTTTGACAAACTTATGGTTTATTTTTTATTATTTTAACGTAGATCGAAATTAATATATGACCGTATATATTAAAAAGAAAAGGAAAATAAATTTAATAAGACGTTATCCTTGAAATGATGAGGTTAGGTATTTCCGGCTTCTGTATGTACTTACATGTATGTAGATTCATTAGGTGCATGCTAGGGAAAGGTAACAGGTAAAAATATAATTTGATGGTTATGCACGTACCGATATTTTCGCGGATATACAATGCACGCCTACAGTTTTTTCACCTTGCCTTTGGAAAATGATTTTATGTATCTGTAAGATCTATTTCGCATTCGTTGCGGATAATCAGGCGTCTGGTGTATTCGCTATTTCTCTTTTTTCCCGCTCGTAATTGAATGGCTCAGTGAACCAAGCGTAACATTGGTCTTGGTTCACTTTAACTGTATGATTGTTGCCTAAAAACTAGCTTTATTCAGTGAAAGTCAATTTCTACCCGAACAGTGGTACAGTGAAATGCACGTCGACACAAAGTAACTAGTAGGATGCATTATCTACGAATTTTTCAAAATGTTTCCAGACTCTTACATCGATCAGATTCTTTCAAGGAAACGATGCAAGAACATTAAACGACTATGCAACGATTAACGATATTTTTCGTTACGTTTGTAACAAAGTAACTTGAGAATTAGTTACGATGTATTTTACAGTACATTGATTATTTACGGTATTATTAATAGTACTATTTATAGCATATCATGTTATTCCCATAGTAATTTCATCTCGCTTCTGCAAATTTATTCCAACAAACCGTTCAAGGCAAAGTCATAAGCAGTGATATTTATAATTAAAAAATGACGTATGTTAAGCGAAACGTGTATCTTTATGTACACCTGCTCGCTCAGACTCGGAATTCTCGTCTCAACATTTAAACCTGTGAGATATTCTGAAAGTCACCCAAAAAAATATCGGTTACCCAACCAATTTCATATGGTAACGGTTGATTTAACTTCGTCAACTAGTCCGCAGCTGAAACTTCGTCGGGTAGGTTAAAATTCATACACGCAGCAGGTTTAGCGAGCCAGTCCACGATATCCTTAAATTACTAAAACTAATATCGACCATATTTCCGATAATCTGTCTGGAAACGGGAAAAGGAGAAAATCCAGCACCGTTCCGACAATTTCCTCGACGCCCCGATCTCGTACCGTCTCCATTTCCGCCACCGCTTAGTGGACCATCTAAGTGTACCAATTTCTCGTTTTCACGCTTCACCGAAAGCCTCGAGTGATCCGCTATCCAATTCGACAAACGCTTTCGGCCATCGTCCATTTGCGTCCTTTTTTTTCCTTTCCATCGGTATACAGCATTCTTCTCGGCTCCTCTCTCTCTCCGAGGTACCATTTCGCGGATGGTCCCTGTCGGGTACGGCCGTAAAGGTAATTCGTCCAAAGAATTTCGATGAAAATATTCGCTGGCAGCGAGGTATCCTTAAGGTCTCCTCGGTGCTCCTCGCAAACAAGGACAGAAGAGAAGGGGATACGAAGTTGTATAGGCACCTTTCTCGCGGCGCTCGCCATGGAATGGCAAAAAGAGAGGAGGCACTCTGACGTCACATTGGTTGGTCGGTAGTGCCGCTAGCCTCTCACTTGGCCGGCGACGTTCGGCATGCTCGCTTCGGTTCGCATTAATTCGATCCTGTATCCGTTCGATTCCGAAGAGACACGATTTTGTACGAACAACGACCGTTGAACATTCGAGGTTCGGCTGCCGGAGGGGGCTGTTCGTCTGCGAAATTAAGGCCCGGTGCACGCGTGCGACAGTGCGTCATGTAATACCACGGACCAGCTGTCTGTCTCGTATCGCAGAGTACGCGGAACGAGTGTTGCAAAGTATAACGAAAATACTGTCAGTGAAGTTCTGTTCTCAAGTTCTGCGTGATCTCTAAGCCGGTTGCCCAGTGTGCGCGCTAGCTGATTGTATTGTTCTATCGTTGTGCTATGACACTCTGGATACGATCGTAAACGGATTAGGTGGCAGCTGCGGTAAGTACAGCTTCTCCTTATCATCACGTTTCCGCTTTTATCTCTCGCCACGGTCGCGTTTCTCGCATTCTCCTTTCGCGTTGTCGCTCTGTGTATGCACGCAGGACTCGTGATTGGCGATGCCGGAAAACGAGAAAGGCTACCGATGCTGCACACAACGGAGAGAAAATTCGTCGTATATTGGAGGGGGCGGCGAGAGGTATGGAATATTGTGTCACTTTAGTAGGGTTATGTGCAAATGTCAGTTATAGATACTTATATACCGTATGACGAGGCGAGGAATTTTGAAAAATATATTTTGATTATAACCTATACCGTATGTTTACTAACTCTAAGTTGAAGTCTCACATGGAATAGGGAGAAATTTATACACGTAGATTTAACGATTGACTAATCCATGATGTAATATATTAGAGTGATATAAAAATATCGAATAGGGATTATTCTGAAATATCGCGACGTCTGTTTCGTTGGAATTATGTTTCGCAGGTAATCTGTGTTTACTATACTGAAACTATTCGCAGGATTATGTATAGACTATTCTTGTTGGTTACATTGTACGACGCGCTCACCACGAAGAAAGTGTTACGAAGTCTTTTCAAATTCGAGTGGCTTTTGTGCCGATTTGCTAACGTGACTCAATTGACTTACGTGGATGCTGGATGGACCATTGACCTTTAAATGTCCGTAGGTTGGAGAACTGTCTAAAATAGTCTTTCCTCGTTACAGAATGAATAATTGATGGTAAACATCGAAGTTGTTAAAGAAGGAGATAAATATCCACGACGAATAATATGTCTATATTAAAAATTCCACAATTTGGAAAAAAAAGCAATTTAATCTTCGGCTGAACTTTCATCAAAGTTTATGTTTGATTTACGTGTCACATTCGTGTTTTTTATATGCATCTGAAGCTGTTTGTTTAATTGAAAGATATTTCATAACGAAAAATATTTTGACAACGTGTTTTTAAAAATTTTTTTTTCGAGTTAGCGAAAGTATGCTTTTGAAAAATTACTCGCAACTTTTATCGAAACAAATACGTAGTTATACTTATTTATTTTCGCTGTACCGATTATTTAATTTAATATTATTTCATTATTATTCATGCATACTGTATTTAGGTACACGGTAGAAATCAGGGATTCTAATGCTAAAAATGCTAAAAATGGTTAAAAGAAGCGGTACAATAGGCTGAAATCTTACAATTTAACGTGCAGGTGATAAGTAAACTTTTATGTTGGTCATTTTGCGTGCATTCTTTCAATGCAGAGAAACGCGGTCGCTTGTTCCATTGGTACCTTTCGGTGTTTCGTGTATATACATGGTATCACGTGACTTGAAAAGAATTATTATTCACAAAACAGGAAAAAAGAATACTTATAATATATATTATTTAACCATAAATCTAAAAGCCCGTATGAATTACATCAAGATATTGATATTCGATCTAAAGCTAATAGCCTGACTTGATTAACCAAGTCGCATCTTGTCCCTCCGGAGTTACGAAATCGAAAAGAGAGGAGAAATATCGTAAATAAAAAAATGATTTGCTAAATTTCAGAAATAACGTTACTCAACGCAAATTTTTATCTCCACCAGGTAATGCAATCGCGGTGACGCAATATCTTTGCAAAATGCGTATAATATTCTATTTTAGACTTTGAAAGCAGCACAATAGATCATGGAAGATTCTACGTCCTCTTATTTATTAAGGCTGTTTCATGCGACGGGATAGCGAGCTATTAATCCTTTGCCAAATGGAATGCAGGATTCAAGCGTTTACGGATTTTCTGTGTCCCCTTCGTACTTTTCTCTAGATTGCAGATAATGATCACGTGTGGTATTACGTGAGTACAAACGAAGAAACCTTCGTTGAAGTTGTTAACTCATCGATCCCGTCTCCGGTGTTATTTTCTTCTATATAGATTTTTTAATGAGAACAGGGGATACCGAACACGCGAAACATAATTGTTGCAATTCAGCCGTATTACTGGCCGTGCCGGTATTGCAAAATTGCAACACGGTGTTTTGTAACGTTAAGTAAGATTTGTCGCGAATTACATAATCGTTTAAAAATTATCGAATTCCACGGTAACGAGCCAATCTACGTTCATCGTGTTTCGTTTACGCAGTTATTATGTTATTACGGTTTTATTATGATTTTCAACGCGCAACGCGTTCCTGTGTGGCTCTTGCTATACGTTTGCAGACATATTGACGTAAATTCAACAAAAACATCGAAATTATATAACTTCCCTTTGTTTGTCGAGGCAGAATACCATTTCAGTTTGTTCGCCACAGGTGTAAATACCATCTTAAGAAATTGTAAATACAATGTTAAAAAGAAAGAAAAATTGAAAGTTTAGGAAAAAATTAATTAAAATCCTCCACTGTGAGTTCTTTGAATTTCTTGTCTAGGAAAATATATGTATAGATACGATGTTTTCAGGAATTAGTGTAACGTTTATACGAAGGAGATTGACAAGACAGAGCGGCGACAAATGCAGGATAAAACAGGTTGGCGAATGAATTTCGTAATTAAAATAACGATATAATTATTAAGCGGTTTACAGAGGAGCAAAGCGTGAGAAATATAATAGGATTTTATACGATAAATCTTGCTGGCGTTATTCAATTAAAGGCGGCGAACGTGTGCTCTTCCTTTGGAAAATGCGCCGATCTAGTAATCGTAAAAGGAATAAGGGGTTAACGGGTTAAAACAAATTGCCGCGTTTGAACATCGCTGTCGTAGTGTGAGAATCAGCCTGGAATCCATGATGAACATTTAACGAGGTCGGCTGTAAATTTTCCACTCAACCTGTTATTAATGCAATCACGAATTCTTTCGAATCTTCGACATTATTAACGCATAAAAGGAAAAAGAAAGGGAGGAAAAAATCCACTAAAACCGACCTTTCCCCCTCCCCCTCTCCCGCTGTCTTGGTACTTAACTTCTTGCTCGATTCTCTCACAATTTGCCGGTTCGTACCTCCGAGCAATTTCAACGTTTAAAATCCATGGGGATCGAACCGCAAACGTTTCTCGAGCATCTCGCGTTGGACAGTTTTAGAAGGTCGAGGAACTGTTAGATCTTCGGTTAATAGTTTCCCATGGCACATTCAGAGCAGTTCGATCCGTTCGATTTGTTTCGTTCTAGGGTATAACCAACGAAATATCGCGGAGATCTGTTTCCTTGGAGTCTGGTCTGAGGCCTCTGGTTCCGCAGTATCCAGCAAGTCCAGTTCGACTAAGCATCCTCCTGGCTTCAAGTGGATTGACCTCCACCGTCAGGATTCGTGATAGGAATAAATTCACCGTTGAAGACTGTACTATGTATTCCAGCCTGGAAAGCACGTCCGATCGTTCTTTTCAATTTTGGGTACTATTCCATGGCGGTAGCGCTGGAATACCGTGCGAGCCGAGGTTCAACTTAACCCTCTTTAGCTCTGCGTCAGGTTTTTTCCCCCGTGCTTGAACAAACGTTCATCGTAACAGTTCTTTGCTGACCTGTCTACGAGTTACACGTCCATCTTGCACGTACGAGACAGACGAGAGATGGACTGATTGTAAGCGACAATCTTTGGTCCCGCGTTGGAGCCGGAGGATCGTTGTTCATCGAAAGGTAGGCAAGTTTGTTTCGCTATATGATAGGTACATTTGTTGACGAGTAGTGGAACGAAATGAGAGTTCATATTATAAGATTGAGAATCGAGCGTGGACGAGGATGGAAAGATTGGTCGGGGAACATGGGAGAGAGAGAGAGAGAGTAGAGGATGATGGATATTTCTCAGGTCCTACCGTGAAGTGCATGACACTGAACTGGTGTTCTCAAAGAATATCGGTGCATTAGTATTCCGAAGGAGTATTCCTATGTAAATTGTGTAGGAGCTATATATAGTCCTTGGGTAAACAAACTGACCTAAAAAAATAGCAAATATGGAATAACAGTCATCGTGGATCGAATCGACTGAATTCTAATGATATCGTTTATAGCCATTTTCGGTGAATCACGATGCACTTGGAGAAAAAATAATCGAATTGGTATTTCTGAAAATTATTTTTCCATTTTTTTCAAGGCTGATCAAATCGATTCGACAAGACTAAAAAATTAATCAAAATATCCCTCTGTTTTGTAAAATATCAAAATTCCTTTTATCCTTAAAAAAATTCTATTTTTCTTTGCCCTGTAGAATTATCTTTCTCCAGGTAATTTCACGGGAGAAGAGAGAATAATTTTGTTTTGCCTTTATTTGGTATTATTTCACTTTATCACAGTGGTAGGAAGAAATTGCAAGTCGGAAGGATAAACGATTTTTGGTGAGATCGAGCCGTAGCTGCGATCAATCGAGCTGGCAGAACCGATCCGCTTGAATGGGAAAAATTATGCATAGCGATATTCTTTTGCTATTTATTGGATCGGAACGTTTTACCGCTCGAAGTTAGTCGAGCGAAAGGAAAGGTTTCTTTCATTTCACACAGAGTTGGAGTCTTTTTTATCCCGAAAATTAAATGCTACCGTGCCTACGACACGAAACTGTATAAATCATCGGATATCTGTTGTCTTCGCGAATAAAGCGGCCGCAAGCAGGAACACAGGCAGAGAAAGCTGCTATTTTATTATTTAATTTATTTGAAGAAATATTGTTAATTAATTTTCTAATTAACTGTCTGATTAGATGCAACCAGGTAGTTAGAAGATATAATTGCACTTTTTCCGATGGAAATGCCTGAATAATTCAACTTTCTTACTCGCCTCGAGTACAGCCTTATCGTGTATCTTTCAAAATGCACGCGTGTAACTGGTGTATTTAAATAATTTATTACCCTACACTTTCGATTTTGTTCATTGACATTGTTCATGAAGTTAATTAATCGTATCAACACTTAGATTCATTGTTAGCTTCAACTTAACAAATTTCGAAGCAATTACTATAGTATACTTGTTATTACATTTATCGTTTCAAATAATTTCACTTTAACTTTAAAATAGATTTTAA